GGGCGGGCGGCCAGGTGCCCTACCTCCAGCGGACCCCCCAGCCGGCACCCACCGAAGAGAGGTCGGTGCGCGCGCCCAGGGTGCCAGGACCTGGGTCCATGGCTTCCCGCACAGGCCGACCAGTCACCACCCTCACTGGAACCTGCCCAGCCCAGCTCCCGACAGAGGCTTTGTCTCCAGATGACAGACCGACTTAGCATCCCACTGCCCGTCTCACCGGCCAGAAGGCAGCGGGGCAGCTACCGCAGCTGGGCGCCCAGGAGACCTGTGAGCGCAGCAGCTGCTCAGCAGCCATGGCCACGGGCTCCACTGGCAGGCAGAGGCCCTGCTTGGAGGCTGGGCGGAGCGGAGGCCAGACTTGGTACTAACAGGGCATGGTGCCCTCCCACCCCAGAAGGCTCCACCACTGGGTCCTGGCACCACTGACCGCCACCCCCCCTCCAACATGGGGAAACCAAGACCCAAGAAGGCTGCATGTGATCCCAGCTGGGAGCCTTTCAGGGACCCCCACCCCCACTCCCGGGCCCTCTCAGGTGACTGGGCCGGGAGCGTGCTCTGGCTGTCCTGGTCCTCAGCCCCAACCCCTGGGGGCTGCCAGGAGCCCAAGTGCGGAAGCAGGCCTGTACCCTCAGTGGTGTAAGTTCCCCTCCAAATCACGGCCAGCTTCGCCCTCATTATCCACCACACACAGCAGTTCCGTGAGCCGTCTCCCCTGATGGACAGGGACCCAGACGGGCCCAGCTGTCAGAAGCCTGCTTACCTGGCTGGCCGGCTGGCCGGCACGCACAGGGCAGGGGCCCGCCTGGCTCGCTGAAACAATGGGGGGTGAGAAACACAATGTGGTCCGTTCCATTCCGGAGAAACTGCCGGGTAACCCACGCTCAAGCCCTCCCCGAGATCTGCGTAATTTGCTGAGAACTCGAGCCCGGCCCCAGACACGTCTCTATAACAAGGCGAGAAGTCCCTACAGCCCTGGTGAGTAGTGGTGTTGCCGTCCGTGGGGTGGTGGGGTGGATGGAGGACACCAGCCACCAGGGAGCAGGGCGGATGCGGAGAACCAGCCTCACCCGCATCCGTGGCACTCCACCAGGCTCCCCTGCCTGCAGCCCAGCCCTGGCCAAGCCTGGATGCAGGGGTCCACGGGCCGCTCCAGGTCCCCCGCCCTCCACCATCAGGGATCATGGGACCCTCTGCACCTGGGAGGAACCTGCAATCACTGGGGGCCACTGGCTCACGCTAAGGCTCCAGGGTTTCCACAGTTCCACGAACAGCACCCTGTCCTCCGTGAGACCCAACCCTGGACCTGTGAGAGCACATGCCTCCAACCATCCTGTCCGGATCAGCCCCCACTCAGGGTCCCATGAGGTTGCAGAGGCCAAGGAGCCCAAAGAGACCAAGGGTCCCCAGCCCTAGCTGAGCAGGACAGCTCCGAGAGCCACTTGAGGCCCAGGCCTATGGGACCGGCAGGGCACCACGCGCCATCTCTGGGGACACGGCCTGTCCCTTTCCCCCAGTCTTCCCAGTGAGGCCCTTCCTGTCCCATCTTACAACCTAATCACACTCATCTCAGTCTGGATACTCCCCCCACCACACTACCCCCTGGTACTCGGTCCATCAGCGTGTCCACTAAGAGTCTGCCTCCCCCAGTGGAACAGGGGGCTGGGCTGTTGACCGCTGTTCCGGCAACAGACATTCACCAACAGAGAGGCTGTCACTCCTGCAGCCTTGGCACCAAGACAAAGGTCCTTGTGGGGAAGGAAACACCAATCTGCACCCTGGGGCCCCTGGGGCCCCTAGAAAACCAGAGGCTGGCACCAGCATCAGTCCTGAGACAGGTCACACAAGGCAGGAGAGGACCCAGGGCAGCGGGGTACAGCTGCGCTCTGCGGACATTTATTACAAGGGATCACCAGCAGTAACGGGGGGGGAGGGGTGCTAGCCTCATTTGCCCTTCAGGTAGATCTTGGGAGTCTGCCAGCCTGCAGGGGCTTCCTTCAAGCCTGCCTTCAGCCAGATGCGCCTCAGGTCTCTCTCGAACTTGATCTGCGAAGGCACAGGGAGGGACCACGGACTGGTTTGTGGCACAGCCACGCATTCTCAGCCACCTTGCCCAGCCCTCAGCTGTGAGGCCCACACTTACCTGCTTCCGTTTCAGGCGTCCTTCCCGGACCTTCCGCCGCAGGAACCGAGTCCTTTTGACCAGTTTGCGGTACTTGTGATGATTCATCTTCCGCCGGCGAATCTTCAGTACATTTTTGCACTGCATCCGGGGTGCATCCCAGATTCCCTCTATCTCCTGCTCAGCCCGTTCCCCCACTTGGTTAGGTGGACACTCATAGCGTTGGGCTGGAGCCACGGTCCCTGGGCCCCCAGCGGCTAGTCTGGGCAGGAGGTAGTGGGCGGTCAGCCAGCTCTCCAGGGGACTGATGGACATCTTCCTGGGGACCAGCATCTCCTCCAGCTGCAGCTGGAGCCCCCTGCCAGGGGTGGAGGCCGCTCCACTTGGGCCTGCTGGCCGCGTGCTGTAGCAGGGCCGACAGGCACACCTGCCTAGCACCCCTGAGACAGGCCCGGGCCGAATGCAACCTGCAGGAAACAGGATGGCACAGTTACCACTCAAGCAGCCACGCTGGACCCGAGCACAGCCAACCCGGCCTCACGCACCGGGGAGCAGAACCGTCACCACTGACCAGGCTGACTCATACCCCGGGTCTGTGGAACTCCTGCTCACGTTCTCAGGCCAGACTTCCCTGGTTACTCGGATGTTTACAGGGGAGTCTGCGTGGCGAGGCTCTGCAGGCTGGGGCGGTCGGGACTACGCAGCCCCACGCTCCTCATCCAGCTGTGCATCTGCCCACCTGCCTTGCCTCACGGGGCCTCTTACCTGCCCGAGGAACAGCCCTGAGCAGCCGAGAAGTCAGGCGCACCAGGAACATGGTCTGTGGACAGCGGCGGCCTCAGGTGCTCAGGGTGGCTGGAATACAGGTGGGCGCGCGTGGAGGTCACGCGGGAGTGGCCGGGAGGCGCCTGCAGGGGCCAGGACTCCTGCCACCCGTCACTACCCTCGCCCACGGTGAGGATGCCACTTCAAACAGGGCTCGCTCCCCCAAACAGCCAGCCTGGGGCACAAACCCCACTGCGCAGCTGCGCGACTCCGAGCAGTCGCCGACCCTCTCCGAGCCTCGGCTTCACCCCAGGGACCCACCACGGGGGCGGAGCCGACGCTCGGAGGCACGGAAGCCACGGGTCCAAGGCCCCGAGGCGGCGGTCCCCGTCCGGCCCCAGCCTCACCCGACCGCGCCACGCACCCCCCCCACAGCCCCCCGGCGAGGGCTCGCGCCAAGCCTCCCCGGGCCTAACCCGGGTGACTCAACTGACCACTCTGCCGCCTAGTTTTGGCACTTCCGGTCCGTCCCTGAACCGGCCCCGAGCCCCGCGTGCGGCCGCCTGGCGGTACCTGCTCCCTGCGCCCCCTGGCGCCGCCACGGCGTCCCGCTCCGCGTCGGCTCAGGTCCCGCCGGGTCGCGAAGGCAGCGGTTTCCGGCCAGAGGAGCGGCATGCCCCGCCCACAGCCCGCAGGCTCTACCTGCGGCGAGAAAACTACATTTCCCACAATCCCAAGGGACGCCCTGTGTGCCTGTTTGGCCCGACCTCGCTTTACTTCCGGATGAGCCGGTGGCCCGGCGTCCGAGGCGGGCGGAAGTGGCGTTGGCCCGGCGACGGAAATAAGAGTTCTTGGGCCGACGGAAGTGACCGGGCTGCTGCGCCCCCTGGGGTTGTAAGCGAAGCGCCCAGGCTCCTCCTCCGCGGCCTGGGGCGTGGCCTCGCAGGAGTCGGGGGCGCGGAGCCGGGTGCTGGACCCCAGGCCGGCGGCCTCCTCTGCCCGCTGGATCTGAGAAGGCGGCCGCGCCTCTTCTGCTTAAGGGGATACGTATTTTTTCCCTTTTGAAAGCAAATTTCCCTGCTGTGCCTGTGGGAAGAATTAGAAACTTTAGTTCTTGCCAAAAACCAAAAGCGGCCTCCGTGGAGCACTGGGCTCGGCCGCGCCCGTGTTGCTCCTCAGGGCAGGGGGCTACCGGGGCCCGTTCTCGCTGAGGTTGGCAAGGATGGACAGGGTCCCCACAGTGAACCTTCAGGGGGCCAGGTAGGAGAGGCGCGCGGGGAGCGGGGGTTCTCGGGAGTCCCTGGCTCTGCTCCGAGCTTTGCTTCCATCAGGTCTCGGCGGGAAGTGGCCAGGCCTGGTCCTCCCCAGGCCCCGACCTGGCGAAGCACTGAGTGCAGGAAAGGCCGGCGGATGGCAGCAACAGGCCCAGCTCCAGGACGGGCGTCAGAAGGTGTCGCTCGGGTCAGAAGGTGACAATGCCTCGCGAGCGTGCCTCCCTCCAGGTGCACGGCCTCAGGCATTGACGATTTGGTCATCAGGGTGAGCCACCCAGGCCCTGTGCCCACCCTGCCACCTTGACAGCTCCTGGACTTTCCTGACTTGCAGGCTCCTTTCTCCCGGGCCAAAGACCCCAGGAAGGCCGCGTCCAGTTGCCTCCCACCCACCCGGAGGCACTGGTTTGGGAGGACGCCGGGCCTAGGTCAGCCCCCAATCCTTAGAGCTCTGACAGGACTGGGAAACGGCCCCAAGACCCTCCCTGCTCACCAAACCCCTCTTCTGCAGGACACCCTCCAGGGCTAATGCTCCGGGTGCCTTCCTGGTTGCCACCAGCCTAACACACCCACGCTGACCCTCCAGAGCAGGGGGACATCAGAAGCATTTTGTCCTTTGCCAGCCTTCTCTTCTCAGCCCCCAAGGAAGCGGCCTTTGTCAGAACACAGACGGCTCAGGCTCGTGACCCGCCTTCCGGGGAGCAGCAGCCGCACCGCAGCGCAACACGAAATGCGCACTTCAGTGAGATCAGAGCCCGCAGCGCAGGCAGCGCAGACGCAGCACTAGGGCGGTGCTGCGGGCTGTGCATGGGGACAAGCAAGCAGAACAACAAAACCACACATTCTTTAACGTCCCAAATGTCCTGAGTAGAGAGAATTGTTTATTTAACCACATAAAATGCATATATAGGAAACTTCTCTATTTAGGAGCTGGTGGCCTGCACTCAGCATCGCACAGATAAAAATATACGACTTTCAACACAGATCTAAATACCTTCACATTTTAAAAATCCAAATTCTCTACACAAGTTTTAAGCTGACAGGATTCAAGTTCTGAGTTTTCATATATAGCTTTAACTTGTTTTAAACACATGTTTATTTACAAGGTGGATAGAGAATAAGGGGCTGTTAAGGCCATTTTCTCATTGTGAAACACTGCAAAATATGTACACAAGTACAACCTAATATAGGCAAAGATTCTAAAAGTCATTTTCTTGGTTTAACGTAATTCAGTATCGGTCCAGGAGTGGAGACACAGCCTGTCGTTAGCACCAAGCCACACCACCAGGACGCACGCGTCTGCTTCCGCACGCAGCTGCCGTGGGGCTGCTGCTGAGGTGGGCCCTGTGCTGGCACACGTGTATGCAGTGCCCAGGCCGGCCCACAGGGCACCTCGCCGGCCTCTCGATTCCATCTCCAAACTCCTCACAAGGTCCAGAGTCAACAGCCACTCAACAGACTCCAAAAAGAGTCGCACCATGGGGCCAGTCAGGCCGAGGCGTGCACACCAAGGGTCAAAGGGCAGCGCTCTGGGCGCCCCGTGCCTCACCTCCGATGCCTGCTGTGCCCGGGGTGGTCCCGCTCATAACGATGGCCTGTTCGCTCGTAAGACCGAGAACGCTCCCTTCGCTGATCTCTATAGTAATGACTTTTTTTCTTGTATTTCCCAGAATTATCTGCCCGCTCCCGTGAGCGGCTTCGAGAGCGAGAGGAGCTCCGGCTCCGGGACTTGTGCGGCTTCTGGGTGGGGTACTTGCAGTCCTTGGACTTTCGGTAGCTTCTCACCTTGGAGCCTTTGTAGGGAGCACCTCTGTGTGCCTGTCTCGGTGGGGAGTCACTCCTGCTCCGTGAGCGGCTCTGCGACTTGGACCCGCCAGACGTGGAGCCACTGTCACTTTTTCTGTGAGGAAGGACACTGCCACTAAGCAGGTGACCACTCGCCCCAACCACCTCAGGACCAGGAGTGACTTTCCGCTGAGGAGCCGCCACATCCCCACCAGCCACCCTGGGAAAAGCACCCCCCTTGCCACGTGCAGGTCCCCGGTGGGCCCCAAGCAGCACACACCTCCTCTTAGGAGAAGCAGATCGTGACGGGGACCTCGAGTAGCTCTGCTCACGACTCCCACTCCGACTTCGGCTCCCTCGCCCCTTTGGCAAGCTGAGAGCACGGAGAGAGCAGTTTCAGAGCTAAAGTCCTTCCAGCCAACCCCGACGGAACCCCGACGGCCTGCTGGGGCACTTGGTTACTCACCCATTCACCGGGCTGTCAGCCTTGGCTTTCTTCATGCCCTCCGTTTTCCTCTTGGCATTCTTCACAGAGAGCGGGGAAGGCTTGTTTCCTTTACCTTCTTTGGGAGATTCTGCTAGAATCAAATACAATCTTCTGATCAGAGGGGCACCTGGGTGGCTCAGTTGGTTAAGCGTCTGACTTCAGCTCAGGTCACAATCTTGTGCTTCATGAGTTCAAGCCCGGCTCTGTGCTGACAGCTCAGAGCCTGGAGCCTGCTTCAGATTCTGCGTCTCCCTCTCTGCCCCGCCCCCGCTCACACTCTGTCGCTTCAAAATACACATTAAAAAAAATTTAAAGGGCACCTGGGTGGCTCAGTCAGTAAGTGTCCGACTTTGGCTCAGGTCATGATCTCAGTTTGTGGGTTCTAGTCCCACACCAGCCTCTGTGCTGACAGCTCGGAGCTGCTTCAGATCCTCCATCCTTTTCTTACTGCCCCTTCCCCACTCGTGTGTCTCCCTGGATCTCTCTCTCTCTCAAAAAATAAACAAACTTTAAGAAGTTTCTTATCAGAAAACTGTTCTAACAAGAAGCACACTAGCAGAACAAGACACCACCACTTCTGTTGGACTTGTGGGGACTCCCCGTTCCCGGCGTGGGACTCAGAACCTAACCATGCACCTGAAAGACACAGAATCGCCATCGGTCTCACCTGACTTCCCTCAGGACTGGGGGCGCAGAGCACGCTCAGCTCTAGGCCTCGACAACAGAGCCTGCTGCTCCAGATTTACACAGTTTTCATCAAGAGACCAGCTAATTAGATGCGCCGGGTAGACCAAGGCATTTTGAAAAACCTGTCCATGTCCCTTGCTGATAAAAATAGAAGGAAGAATGGCACCTGGCTGGCTTAGTTGGTGGAACACGTAGCTCTTGATCTTTGGGTTTGAAGTTCAAGCTTCAGAGGTTGGGTGTAGAGGTTACTTAAAAATAAAATCCTAGATGGGGCGCCTGGGTGGCTTAGTCAGTTAAGCGTCCGACTTTCGCTTAGGTCACGATCTCGCGGTTCGTGGGTTCAAGCCCCGCGTCGGGCTCTGTGCTGACTGCCAGCTCCGAGCCTGGAGCCTATTTTCAGAGTCTGTGACTCCCTCTCTCTCTGACCCTCCCCTGCTCACGCTGTCTCTCTCACTCTCTCTCCTAGAAATAAAATTAAAACATTTAAAAAAATAAAATAAAATAAAATCCTAGAGGCACCTGGGTGCCTCAGTGGGTTAAGCATCTGCCTCTTTTTTTTTTTTTTTTTTTTTAATATTTTTATTTATTTCTAGGAGAG